TATTAAATTCAAATAACTTGTATGAAAAGGCCAAAAAGATTTTTAAAGATTCAGATGAAAGTCTTAAAGAAACTGCTAGACGTCTTTGTTTATGCATTAGAGTTATTTAAAGTGACCAAAAAGCAAAATGAGAAATCACAACTAACTTGAAGAAACCTGATCAGTATCATACAATCTAAACCTTTTTTTATTTTAATTATAAATAAGGCAAATATAGCAGCTGTTTTAAAATGTTTGAAGATAAAGTTTTATTTTTAATAAAACATCGTAGATAATTGTTTAAATATTATGTCATTTTTCTTCTTCCTAAGCATACTTAATAAATCCATCGTTTTCATGCCATTTCTTGTATGTGTATGGTTTGATACACCACAAATACATCCCCTAATGTAAAAGTCAAGAAACTCTGACTTTTACTTCTAGCAATTTATTTATGTAACCTTTAATAATAAGGTGACATTTAAAATTCATAAAAATGATCCCCCCCCCCCCTCCCCCCGTCAAACAACTATATATAATAGACACATTAATAAACTGATTTCTGAGGCAACTGAATCAGTTGCTAAGCAATTGATGTCACTCCTGTAAGTAATGTGACTTTTAAAGCTGTAACAGTAATGTAAAAAATTGCTGCTCCTATTTTCATGCAGATTAGTATCGTTATCCTAATTTGCCCTTTTTAAAAATTTATTTATATTCTAAAATTCGAAAAACTAATAGGATAGATTTTTCCATGAGATAAAGTTAACATGATGTGGTTTCTACAAGCTAAAGAATAAACTGATCACTGAGGGTTTTCATACCTGAAGATGCTAATGTGAATTATTCAGTAGGGATTACCTCTCATTAATTAATCAGACAACTAGTAGAAGCAGGTAACAGAAAAGCTAGTTCAAATCTCGCCTCTGAATTCGTCAAAACGCCCTTTGTGAAACCACACAGAGTGCCCCAGATGGCATCTGTTGTCAGGTGCAGGTACAGCTGGCTTACTGTAAATAAGGCTATGCAAATAACAGTGACATAGCTTGACCCCTGCTCAACAAATTTATTTGATATAATCTAATCTACTTTTGCATCAATTTAAATAGTGAAGAAGCAGAACAAGACAGGAAAATTGTTAAGGCTTTTTCCAACAATAAGACTTCAATAATGATATGGGGTAGGGGGAAATATAGCTTAATTAGCAGCCTTGAAAAGATATCCGCCAGTCTCTTGCCCTATTTACTCGACAACAACCCATTGAAAATGTAATTGTTATTCAGTTACTTGTAATACAAACCATGAGGCAGTGTTTTAAATACAAACTCCATACAAACGACACTAGCAGTGCTAAAAACAGCATAAATTCATTGCAACGCCACTAGTAGTTGTAATGTTGTTTGAAACTCATAAACATGCGTATGAGTACAAAGATTTTCCTGCCACAATTAGGGCCAGGTCACACCAGTTACTTTTTAATCTTGGATTAAATTTTTTCTCATATCGTACTGACTCCGTAGAGAGAAGCCCCGACTGTGCAGGGTGAGCAGATCTGTGAAGATTTTTTCTTTTCCACTTCTATCTCTGTCACATTCAACTGAAATTGAAACAAATGAAAAAAAGATGATAATAAAAAAAATTCACAAAAAAAACCCTACAAAAAATAAAGTAAAAATGCCGCAACGAAAAAGCAAAGTCACACTTAATGAGTCTGTGCAGCAACTCTTAAACCGGAACAGATAGAAAGATTTTAAAGGCCTATTGAAAGAATATAATGTGAACTATGTTTAAAGAAAACCATAAATTATTTTGTTTGATGTTTGTTTTTTTTTTGTTTTTTATTGAAATGGTGGACCATCTATTGTCTTTGCCTAAAAGGACAGAAGAGAAAGTCACCAAGAAAAGAAGACGAAGTAATACACCTAAAAACTAAATCGGCTTGGCTTCTTTCAGGTGGAGACAAAGAGGTTGTAGGCTTTCTGCTACACATTTAAATAAAATAAAAAAAAAACATTGAAGTTTATTTTGCCCTAATAAATTGTAAACAGTGCAGCAGCTACTTTGTCCTCCCAACAGAGACATTTGTTTGTTAGCCTACACAGGATACGCTCCACTGCAACAATGATCAATTGTTGTTATTCTTCACAGAAGTCATACCAGCAGGAACATTTTAGCTTTTTTTTTTTCTGAGAAATATTCTAACATTACAATATTTATATTATTTTCTAGAAACTAGGAACCCTTCACAGCAAAAACAGTGTTCTCTCAATAATCAACATATCCCTGCTGTTTTAGGGATGGATTTAACCGCTGTGATAACTGCACAATAAAATCCTTCAGGCAAAAAAAAAAATGTCTGGGATGTCCTCTCACATTTTAAGCAGAGTATATTAGTAAACTAATAAACCTGTGTAAGCAAGTCGTTTTACTACTGTGCCATTTTATGGGTTTAAATCTCTGTGTACTGATGCTGATCTCTATTAAGTCTCCCATTATTTATTCTCCATTTCCTGTTTTACCATCTATTAAGTAACAAGGGTAAGCATATAAAGAGATTGTAGCTTTAATAAATCAATAAAAATCTCTTTGTTATGTCGACGTCATCTGAATCGGTCAGCATGCATGGTAATGCCATGTTTGAACAGGACCTCAGTGATTTCCAGCTGGATGTGCACGGACTGCAGAATGGTTTGGTTAGAATAGTTGGCTTTTTAGTATATTCTTGAACTACAATCCCAGTATCTGGGATCATGTACTTGGAGGAGAGTATTGTGAAAACATCAACACTGCAGATGATCCGAAACATACATTCCTGTAAATCTTAAAAAAGGAGCCTTAAGGATACACATCCTGGGTTCTGAACAACAACAAACATATCTTATGCACTAAAAACATGAACCCTGAATGCTGGCTGCATCAAATTTAAACTACAGACCAAGTTGTCAATGAAATTGTAAGCTTTCAAATATGCCAATATAAAGAATGCATACTGGAGATCACCAGCCTATACATGCATGCAAGGGCCAATACATTAATGCGTTCAGCAGCCATGTCTTAAGATCACGTGAGGCACCTGCATTGCTGGCCCCTCTATTATTAAAAAACATTTTTAAATTGAGACTTGTGTAACATTTGCTATAATTTTTTCATTACTTATTATGTAAATGGAGGAAAGAATAATGATATCAGCTCTCAGAATCTGCCCAAGAATATCAGCAAGACATATAAAGGATCTGTTAGACCAGGGGTCTTCAACATTTTCCAGGCCAAGGACCCTCAAACTGATATGAGATTAAGCGGGCCCCCTCTAATGATATATATTGTATAAAATTGTGCTATATCAAACTGCCCCTATAGTCACTCTATTACAGATGGAGTAGTGTAACGAAAGTAATTTCTCCCTGGGATTATTAAAGTATTTCTGATTCTGATTCTTCATTGATGGGGCAGGTGTTGTGAATAAAACGGCGCCCAGCTTGAAAGAGCTTGCGTGTGTGTGTGTGTGTGTCGCTGAATGTGTGCATTGATGACTGAAAGACATCTTCTGCCTCCATTTATCTGTTTACTACAGTGTGTTAAATTCATTTTAATGTGTAGATTATTTAAAGACATTGCAGATAGTGGAAAAAAATTGCAGGACGGAATATATATATAAAAAAATAAGAGTCTAATCAACCAAAACTTTTGAGACCCCCATGCAGTAGATCCGTGGACCCCCTGTTTAAGACCTCCATGCTAGACTGATTGGGATTAGTCTAAAAAAAATACCTATATCAGTCAGTCTCTTATGTAGAGATTAGTAATAAGGTAAAAATAATGTTGATAATTACATCTATGCTGTGGCTCACTCTTAGGGGAAGTGGCGGCCTAGTGGTTAGTGCATAGAGCTTGGAATCCTGAGGTTCTGAGATCTAGCCCCACTCCCACAGACTGCCACTCTGCCACAAGACTGTACCCTGGGCGTCCAATGATGGCAGCCAACTGCTCCCCAAGAAGATGGGTTAAATGCAGAGGTAAATTTCTCAAATGTGAGATCAATAAAGATAATTTATTATTAGGGCTATAACATCACTTTTTTTTTTTTAAAGAAATCATTCACATATGTTAACCAAACCTTCTAATGTCAGTAGCAATAATGAATTGACACACTCAGTAAGAGTCATGCAAATCCAACATCTAAATTCTTTACACTGCTGTCACAACGAGTGGCCCAGTTGGCGTCTGCCATTTCTTCCAGGTACAATTAGCCCTACTGTTAAAAATAAGGCCATGCAAATATCTACAACCTAGCTTTACCCTTACTACTAAATTCTGCTTGCGATTTTGGTGTTGGAAATCTAACCTACCTTAATACTATTCAAATTCTCCGATCTAGAAAGAGAACTAGAAAGGAAGGCATTAGCATTCTTCCTCAGGGCCTTTGTAAATGTGAGCTTTCATTGCAATTCTGAACAAACCAAATAACCGCCTTATTTGTAAGGATAGTCTGATATGTGGGGGAAACAAAAAGATACTTGTTTTTCTAGAATGAAAATAAAGTGTGATTAGGGAGATGACAGACGGAGTGTGGAGGATGAACAGGCCAACTGACGGCAGACAGGTAACCCTTCAAGATTTATTCTGACAAGCTCTGAGCTTGCTGCCAGATTGTGTGTCGCTTTTAACGGAATAAAACACCCATAACCGAGTCCCCTTTTAATTGTGTCTGCTTAACACACTGTGGGACATATAGGACGTTTCTGTACACAGGCCATTTCTCTTCTTTTTTTTTCTAGTTACAAGTCCGACCGACAGCCATTACCTTCCTCACTCCCTTCGTGTAACTCGGCAAGACGAACCGGACTACGCACTACTTTTGAAGAAAATATTAATATTTCCTTCCATGCTCTAAACTGTACCGTCTACGAATAATTAACGGCTCGTAACGACGTTGTCACTGTGTTATAAATATATAATACCATGAGTTTTCAACCGTGAAAGGAAAAGAAAGACGCAGGAAGGAAATGTATCACTCCACTTACCCTGAAATATTGCTGATAAACCCCGAACCGAGCGCTGCCGTCGCCTGCTTCGGAGCTGACCCGTCTCAACTAAAAGGACGAATATAAACACGTTGAAGCGGCGTCTCTATTTACACACATCCGCGGCATTTTATTCCACTTTATGTTGATGTAACTACACTGTCCACCTAAGCGACTCGAGCGTACCCAGTGTACGATTGACGTCATTGACGTGAGTTCTTGATTGAACGGGGATCGAACCAATCAGAGGCTTCCCTGCATAGCTGGTGTCCAATCACATTTTGGGAACGCCTTACTGTGAGAGGACATGACGGAGGCAGCCATGTTCTGGTATGGTGTTTGTATCCCTCCGCCGGAGTATTTACCTTTTGCATGATTTTGCATGTGGGGAAAATGTCACTGTAGCCCGCTGTTCGCTGCCTGCTTTCCATAAGACAACCCGCTAGGACATTTATTGTTTTTCTCCTTGGTTATTACCATGCCACTTAAAACCACATATATAAAACTATATATGCATTTACACATAAAATAGCGTTTTTATGTTTCCAACGAGCGAGAATACTGTTTATTGAGGGTTTTTAGGTCTGATATGAACAATTATATCACTAAGCCACGCTATAAAGTAATCACAGATTTATATTGTAAAACCATTATTGATGAACATTTCCATGCAATGAATAGATAATCAAACCCTAAGCTTAAACGCAGACAGATCAGGCAATATTAAAAATGTTGGATAGAAGTCCATATGTGCAGCAGAAATATAACTTATTTAGATCACTATACAAAGGTCAGCAATAATTATATTCATTTTGTTTTTGATTCAGATGTTTAACATTTTAACAACAAATATAATCATAAAACATCCAGGTTCTCTTCAGATCAATTTATAGAGATATTTATTATTAGCTAATTACTTTACATTTATTTAGACAGCTCCAATTACATACATCCTAAATCAATTACTATTTTACTTTAAAAAATTTATCTATTTCTTTCTGCCATAATGAAAACATGCAATATCAGGTCAAAATAAATCATGACATCTTCAATTTTATTCCTTTTTTAAATTACAGGATAAAAGTATGACTTGAGGTGCACATTATTTGTGAATGTCATTTCTTATTCTTTCAAATAAAATAAATACAGTGCCTGCTTAAACTGCAGACATTAAGTTTGGTGTCCTCTGACTATTGGAGTCAAAGTAAATACCATAGGCTTCCTATAGACCTTAAGGAAAAATATTGTATTGCAGCTTATGTCTAAAGAAAAGTTTAAAAGGTTCCAATAGAATTTTAATTCTGTTTACAAGTAGAGGCTCTTCAAAGTAACTGACAAAATCCCACAGTCTGGCCATCCCACCTAGTTAACCAAGGACCAATTTGCTGCAAGGCAACAGTGCAACAAACTATGATAATAGCTATGCTGATAATTTTATTCCATCAATGTTATTTGTCAAACAACTTTGTGGGAAAATTATAACTTTCAATGCTTGTCACACACTTCAGTCATATGCTCACTGTACAGCCACTCGTTTGTTTCTTCTTTGTAGTCAATTTCGTATAATTCTGTGTTTATCTTCTTGATCATTTAGTACATAAAGGGCAAATTTTAATTTATGATTGTCCGTTTTTATCTCAGCCTGATTTCATCCACGTTATTTTTGCAGGATCTGTTTTGTTTTCTTTGCTGAAGCAATAATCTTTCAAATAAACAGAATGAAATTAAATAATTTATGAGATGAGTTTTACTTCTGAAACTATACCACCAAAAACAATAAATAAATAAACTGTTCTTATTTTCCTAAATACCATGGATAGTTTCAGTCTGGCAGCCAAAACTATAATCTATCTTGATTAGAAACTAACATATTATATAGAGTATTATATTATTATAACAGATGATGTTTAAACAAATGTGGGTCTGAGAAGTATGGTGTGTCTATATCCATTCAGGCTCCTTTATTCAATACTTCAAAGCATATAGCATATTATATCCAATGGGGGTGGCAGTGGCGTAGGATGCAAAAGTTCGTCCTGCAACTTGAGGGTCTCCGCTTCAAACCCCAGCTCCGTCTGTCTCATTTGTTGCGTCCTTGGGCAAGACACTTGACCCACATTGCCTACTGTTGGTGGTCAGAGGGCCCAGTGGTCCCTGTGTACAGTAGCTTCACTTCTGTCAGTTTGCCCTAGAGCAGCAGCAGCTAAATTTGTGCATGAATAATGATTGAATATTATGCAAAACGGTTTAGAGTCTCAGGACTTAAAAAACAGCCTATATCGGAGATAAATAACCCATAAAAAATTAAGACAGCAAGTTATTATAAGGATGGCGTAAATCACCACTGCATCAATATCCAGACATGTGGGTCCAGCTGAACTGACAGGCCAAGCAAGGAAAGAAACAACAGAGAAGCGGCCTAGAGACTGATGGTAACTGTGAAAGAGCTGCAGAGATCTGTAGCTTTGGTGGGACAATCTGTTGGTAAGGCAACATGGAGTCTTACATTGAAGAAGCTACATTGATCAGATAACATACGGCATATTGCTGCAGCATTGATGGTTATATGAAGGCTTTTTTGTAGCAGACTGGCATAAAGCACAAGACATCTTGGAGAGTAAAAGGCCTCTTGGATTAGAAGCACAGTATAAAGGCTTGGCTTGATTTCTTTGGAATTAAACGCACCAATAATAACCACCAAAATAATTTAGATTATTCAAAGAGATATTTTATACTCCAGACGGAGACATCAGTATAGCTACTCTGATGCAGAGGTGTTACATAGGGAAGTACAAGAAGCACATTTAGAGGCAAGGAGCCACAGGAGAGAATGAAATCAGAGAAAGGTGGAACTGAAACAATAATACATTTTTACAATTAATATGATTAAATGTGAAAACAAGTAGGACAGCAAAGTATTGATACTAAAAAGACCTACTAGATTAAAAACAGGCTGGGCATAGAATTGATTACATTTGTTGTTACAGTGGGAGATAAAACTGATAAAAACCTGGATTAGTTTGATACCAAAGAATAATAATGCTAATTTGATAGCAAACATTCAAACATAGAGAGGTTTATTTTTTTTTCAGCAATCAAATCTCCATGTACAGCTCTGTTGAGTAAAAACTAGCAGCTTAGTACACCTGTATGGTCAAATACTAGTGTCTCCATCCATATGTGAACCAGAGAGAGAGGTCATCAGATGCATGGAAAAGTGCTTTATGTTCCTCACAGCAGTAACATCAACAAGCCAAAGTGCACTTGGTGCAGGTCTGTCCCACTCTGCTGCCCACACACATTCCATGGTCCCACCCACTCACACTCCACTGAGCCATCATGCTACACTTTCATGATCTCGTCTTTATCAGAGAACTCAGCCACTTGGCACCCTCTGAGCTCCATGGGCTAAGAGCGGTTCTGGGACAGTTCAGTGCTGTGAAAAAGCGTTTACCGCATACAGATGCCTTATGCCTTTGCTTTTTGAATCTAGAATAATTATAGTATAAAAAAATAACCTGAGTAAATCCCAAAAATCATTTTAAAATAAGGGAAAAGAATCAAACCAACCTAGCCCGGTGTGAAAATTACTCCCTGTACCCAACAACTGACTGTTTTACTATTAACAGAAACATCTGCTATTAGCCTGTAGTTTTATACATAAACCGCTTCTTTGAGGATGCATCACAACATTTTAGTGTCTATTACAGATGGTGGTTAGGCCATTCAAATCGTTGGGGTGGGTTTTTGAGCCATTCTGAAACAGACTTATATATTTTCCATTATTCTGGAGTGATGACTCAGAATTGTCGATAAGGTTTTGTGCTAGAGACCAAACTTCTGCTTTCACTAATTGTGAAAATATGTGTAAAAAAATAGCCCAAACCCCCAACTATGTCTCTCTTTATGATGCAAATATTCTGAAATGCTTTGCTTGTTTTATCCCAGACCTATCAGGACAGACACATTCCAAAAACACCCACGTTTGTCCACAAGTCTCTAGCCTGATAAACCAGACTGAATGTGAGATTAAATGCGTAATTTAACTCACAGGCAAAGATGATTTTGGCCACTGGCGGCTGGGGCTAGTTTACTAGGCTAACAAGTCTCAGAAATCATAAAGTCTGTTTTTTTTTAGGTCAGCAATTGTTTTTGTTGTTTAGTTTTAACATGAGAGAAACCACATGGTGGCCTTGGAGAGTTCACTGCTGTTCTATTTTTTTCTCCATCTAAGGTAGCCTACATGTGGCTCAATAAAGTTCCCAAAGAGACTTTGCAACTCATTTCAGACAGTTCCGTTTTGACTTTCTTTTGATTTGGGCACAAAGTTTTGGGTTTTATTTTTTATTTTTTTAGATCTTTTAACCTAAATATTATTGTCCGATTGGTTTTATGTGGGTGATTTATTAATTTACTGCTGAAAAGGTTCTACTGTGAATAAAACAACTGAATCAGAAAATGTCTTAAAAGTCATCCAATCCATAATAAGAGTGGAGTGATATTTCCATAGGAACAGTTTTTTTTTTTATTTACATTATATACACAAATGATCCTAGATGGTTTCTTTACACTTTAGCAGCTATTTCCCAAATTTTTTTTTGTCATTCTTTTTTTTTTATTTCAGCTGTATAAAAAAAATGTTTGAGACTTAAAATGGCCTCTAAGCTCAATAAATCAGCTATTGCTGTAAGATGTTACTTTTCCATAAGTAGTCTGTCAACATTACTAAAGATAAAACAGACTTTGACAGGCAGAAAATATAATTTTATAATAAAAAAAGACGATTCCCATAGAGTTTTTTGCTGAAAATCTTATAGAAGGTGATAGACTGGGGTGTAAAGATTATTTAAACTAAGTTAAAATCCTATGCAAAGTGCTGAAGATTGAAGTACAGTGGTGGTCCTGGCATAAGGATCTCCTAGGTGGATCTGCTGCTGCTTACCCTTACAAAAAGAAAAAAGTTAGACTTCAAACTTTAGAACACGACAGGGTTTTAATCCAGGGAAAGGTTCTTGTCCTTGCAAAGATTCACGGGGTACCTAATTTTAATGTAAAAATAAATTTCTAAAGATTTTATGGTCATTTCCAAAGGCTATACAACCAAGACAATATTTCTTCAACACATTTGCGCAAGGTTACATTTCCATATTTCTTGCTTTCAAAATACCAAGAATTTGTTTTTGTAAGAAAACGTTTCACACTCTTCAT